AAAATTAAAAAATTTATAAAAAATTATTTTATTATTAACTTATTTAAAAAATCAAATTTTAATTAACAAGTATGAAGTCAACTAAGTCACAACTCACCTCTTGTCACTAGGTCCTAATCTATTTTTTACAAGGTTAAATCTTGGATTCAGTCTTTCAACTTTTATTTTTGAATTAAATTTACTTTCAAAATTCAAAAAGTACTAAAAAATTCCTTGAACTTCAATTTTTGAAACCAATTTCGTCCTTTCGTCAACGGAAGTACCAGATGACACGTTAAGTTGTCACAAAATCAATTCTTATTTGAAAATTTTAATTACGTGAAAAATAACTTAACTCATTATTATCTACATCATTTTAATTAATTTATATATTAAAAAATTTAAAATTCCTTAAATACCCCATCTTCATCTTCTATCCCCTCTCGTCTCTCTCTATCCTCAGATGTCTTCTCATCTTGCAACCCAATTAGCACCAATCATCCCTCATTGCTCCGATCATCCCTTATTGCTCCGATCATCTATTACCACTTCAATCACCATCTACTTCTTCCTCAAACCTCCTCTCTAATAGAACCCAAATCTGATTCCTCGCACAATAATAATAAGGTTAAAACCCTTTTTTGGTCCCCGAACTATTGTAGGGACCCCCGATTTAGTCCTTGAACTAAAAAAATCCTTGATTTGGTCCCTACTGTTTACCCATTTTACCCCAACTTGGTCCTTCCGTTAAAAATATAGTGACATGTCCCGTTAATTAACTGAGTATGATGACATGTCAAAATATTCTGACACGTCAACTGTACACATGGACAAAACACGTCAGATTTTGGGCCAAAAAAAAATTAAATTGTGGGGCCCACCTCCGGCCCCTCAAACACACTATCTTCTCCCCCTTCTTCCCCTTTCAAACCCTAGAAGAGCAGTTCTCCACTGGGTTCTCGAAGGAACCCAGCCGCTAGGTTTCGTTGGAACCCAAGAGCTGGGTTCTTTCGAGAACCCAGGTGCTGGGTTCTTTCTTGAACCCAGCTGCCTGGGTTCCTTCGAGAACCCAGCTGCCTGGGTTCCTTCGAGAACCCCAGCGCTGGGTTCGAGAAAGAACCCAGGTGCTGGGTTTCTTCTCGAACCCAGGCGGCTGGGTTCTTCCCAAGGCCTGGGTTCCAACGAACC